ATGATTTTTCTATATCAATAGAAGGTAAATTACAGAGATAGAGAAGCTACATGGTTTATCTCCATGAAATAAATCAGGAAAGAGGTTATATGATAAATCTGAAGAGATAGACTTTTGGACTCTTGAATAAGTCTAATAATTTGTACAATATGCGGTCTAGAGATATAAAGTGTCCATCTTAAAGATGGATGCAAATATGTGATCTATCTAAAAACAATTGTAACTAACAGTCTAAATGTTTTTTAATATAATTAGTATTTCTAATTTTCAAATTTTATTTATTTATTCATATTCATGATCTTCGTATTAAAGATTATATGTTATCTAGAAATTAAGATCAAATTATATTTCAAATATATTTACTGCCAAGCTTGTATTTCTATATGTACACACTTGGCCGCATATTAACCCGCCTCCTCTTTTCTTTTTCTTTTTTCTTTTTTTTTTTTTTTTTTTTTTTAATTGCAGGTGAAATGACATCCATTGTAGAGGCAAACGAATGCAGTGAGAATGTTCCTGTGGACACCGTCATTTGCTTCGGTTACTTTTGTAGAGGGGAATGCAAGTATTTTCATAAACAGGGACATGGAAAATGCCATGCCCTTTTCAAGTGTAGATGCACTTGGCCTTGCTAAAACTGAGTGAAACATTTTATTAATACTGGGAGGCCTCAGTGCACTGCTTCGTAATAAAATTATGGATGGAAGTTTTTGTGTTCTGGATTCTTTTTTGTTTTTTTTCTTCTTTAAAGAAATTCTGAAAAATTACTTTTTAATAGTGAAATTGGCTAGATCGGGCCCGTTTGGATGTATGGATTATTAGTAATAATACCCACTTGAGGGTCATAGATATCTTAATTTAGTCGGCTAATATTTACATGTGAGTAAAATTTTCACATACAACATCGTTACAAATACGAAAGGTGGGGAAATTTTAAAAATTACAAGGATGAAGGGGCTAACTTTTTAGTTATGTCAAGGATGTCTTAAGTTTATCCATTTAAACATTGTCAAAATATTTATATCATTAATTTGTGATGTGTAACTTTTAATCTTTTTATTTAAATTTGGGAGAGGTTTGTTTAGAGTCGAGGCTGTAAACAATCAAATTAGAACGCACCTTCAAATAGTGTCGAGAAATATGATTTCAATACCAAAAATCTTGGTGATAGCCTTAAAATATATTCTCATTTTTTATTATAAAATTTAAATCTTCAAAATGAGTGTAGATCGAGTTGAAAATCTTAAAAATTGACGGTCTAAAAATATGTTACAAGATGCACTATTTCCAAATTTTGAAATTCATTTTTTTTCTCATATCCATGCATCTTGATATCGACTTGACTAATTTAACCATGTTTTGGCATCAAAACAACCTTTTCTAGTGAAATTTTTGAAGTGGGTTCTAATTTGATTATTTTCATCCTTGGCTCTATATAAACTTTTCCCTTTAAATTTTGTCAAACCACAATCTTTAGGATTATAAACTTCAGTTGTATTTGTTTTTAGGATTTAGAGACACAAAATCTAGGGGAAATCGAACTTTGAGATTATGAAAAATAAAAAGTATTTCTTCAATATGTTTTAAAACTTGTGAAAATATCTACATAAGGGTTAAATCAGCATACAAAGTCATTAAATCATCCTATTTATGAATGGGAATGTCGTTCCTTAACTTTCATTTAGGTGCAAGAAAAATCGAACCAGAACAGTCATCTAGACATGGGGCCAGAAATAGTTAGATCGGGACCAGCCTAATCGGTAGTTAACCAGACCGGTTTCGTCCAGTAGAATTAATTTTTTAGATGGGTCAAAAACCCAAAAACATTAAAAAAAATGTAAATATGTAGATTAAGTGTATAGTATTTTATTACCTATATTTATCTTAAAAAAAATAAGATAGTAAAGTTGTATTACTTGCTCTAAGTCACAAAATATAACCTAAAGTCTATGCGTAATAATCTTGAGCCTCATGTAAGAAAGTAGTACTTAGAGATGAACATTCAACAGCCCATGGTCATGACAACTAAAATAAATAAATAAAATAAGTTCAAATTTCTTCTAAGATTAATAATATTACGATCATGTCAATAACAATAGAGGCAACACAATTTCGTTACAACGATGGCACATTTATGCATTTATGTAAATGAACAAATATCCTTTCTAACATCTAAAATAAACATTTTAACGACATTATTGCAAAAAAAATCTGATTAAGATAAAAGAAAGAAAAAAAAAAACTAACATAATATTACATTAAATCATTAAAGAATAAAAAGAAAAGTACATGCCACAAGTTTAGACTTTATAGCATTATAACAAAATTGGAGATAAATTTAAAAAGAGCCGAGTCTTTAACCATATAAATTGGAAACTAATGAGATAAAATTGAAGATAATTATTTCAAATTTAAAAAATATTTTGTGCATAATTATTATTTTAGCAAAATAAAGTGGTAAATAGTCGAGCAACAAAAATTTTGTATAAAAAAGATACCAAATGAAAAGTCACATTTAAATTCATACCTATGATATCGATTGTAAAAATTGAGCACTAAATTTTTACTTTTCGACTAAATTAGAACTGCAATATCTTGAGTAACTCTGTAATCTCCAAAAACCCCAAAATTTGACAAAGAAATGATAAAAAGATGGCCCATAATCGACCGATTGGCAGATTTTTTTGAACTCCGAAATGAAAAACTCAGTTGATGCCCTAATCTACAAAAATCAAGTACCAAATTTTTTATTTTTGACCAAATTAAGATTGCATTCGTTTGAGCAACTTTGTGATGTAGGAAATCCCAAAAATTTGATTAAGGAGCCCAAAATCGACAGAAGGGTGGATTCATTTCAACTCAATTAAAAAAAACAAATCGATGCCCTAATTTGTAAAATTCCAACAGCAAATTGTCAAATTAGGACTGCAATCTTCTGAGTAACTTTGCGGTATATAAATTCCCAATATTTGACTGAGAAATAAAGAAAAAAAAGCCCTGGACAGTTGGCGCCTTTTTTTTTCAACTTGGTTTATAAAAACAAAGACAATGCTCTAATATGTAAAAATCAAGCACAAATTTAAGATTTTCGTGATTAGGATATCAATCTTCTGATTAACATTGTGATCTACGAAATAATTTGATTGACAAACAGTAAAAAATGAGACCAAAACCTCGAGTTTGGCATTTTTTTTTCAAAACCGTGCATTTTTTTCAACTTGGTTTATAAAAACAAAGACAATGCTCTAATATGTAAAAATCGAGCACAAATTTAAGATTTTCAAAATTAGCATATCAATCTTCTGATTAACTTTATGATCTACAAAATAATTTTTATTGACAAACAATAAAAAATGAGACCAAAACCTCAAGTTTGGCAGTTTTTTTTTCAAAACCGTGCAGAACACCCAAAAAAAAATGGCATTTCATAGTATAATTTTTATTGACAAACAATAAAATATGAGACCAAAACCTCTAGTTTGGCAGTTTTTTTTTCAAAACCGTGCGGAACACCCAAAAAAAAAAATGGCATTTCATAGTATAAAATCAAATAATTGAACATCACAAAACTCCGCAAGAAAAATCTCAAACGTGAGCCATACGTGATTCTCACCTCTCCTACATCTTCATGAGAGATGATGTTGGAAGTGCTTATATAACCGGTTTTTGCCCTACCTCTCTTCGATGTGGAACAAATACAATTCAATGCCTAACGTTGGACCTCAAATCAATATATTGTTTTATTATAAGAAAACCGACGTAGGAGCAAATCCTTTTTTGTGATTTTTAAAAAGAAATTTTATAATCAAAATCATCTTCTTTTAAGGAAATACATGCAATGATCTTCCAATGGACCATAAATGATCAAATAGAAAATCTCCTTAAATATGTTGTTCGCGAGTGAAAGTAAGTCGATTTTTTTTCCATCCTCAACACGTGCCATCTATAAAATCTATTGTCGATTTGCTAGTCCATGACAAAGGTAATATCATTCTTACTCAATTGGGTTCTAATTACTATAGTTTATACAATCAATGACAAAAACCTAATAAGAGATTTCTTTAGGAAAGTTCAAAAGTCCAATTGTTTAGCCACGACAAAAATTACCTTCAATGAAATAAAAATTATAATAAATTTTAGGAATTATCATTTTCATTCAATGCACGTGCCATTATTTAGTTTTCAATAACCACGACTATAACCTGGACAAATTTAGAAAAAGTGAAGCAGAGAGAGCAAAACACTTCAATAACTTGTAGTTTGTCATTTCTTGCAATATTCTGCAGTTTATATTTTATGCATTTTCCTCTCTCACTTTAAGTAAACGATTCCTATCATTTAGATTCAGTAGGTCGCTGATAATCAGTTGAACTCTTTTCTCATTCTAAATGCAGAGAAACAAATAGTAAAGGGAAAAGTTTATATAAAGCTAAGGCTGTAAACAATCAAATTTGAACCTACCTCAAAAATTTCATTAAATGTTGTTTTGATGCTCAAACATCTTCAAATTGATCATCTCGACATCAAGACGCATGGACATGGGACAAAAAATGGATTTCAAGTTTTGGAAATAATGCATTTTATAACGCATTTTTTGACCATCAATTTTCAAGATTTTCAAGATTTTCAAGTTTTCATAGATTTGTCGATCTACACTATTTTTTAAACTTTAAACTTTATAAATAAATATAAAAGTATATTTTAAGGCTATCACAAAGATATCCCATATTAAAACCACATTTCTCGATACTATTTGAAGGTAGGTTCTATGATTGCTTAGAGCCTAGAGCCTAGGCTATATACAAACCGCACCCGTAAAGTACTAAAACCACATAATATAACGAATAGAGGATTATCTGAGATTCTAAGCCATAACATACATCCAAAAAAACCATTATACAGCCCTCTCTAACACACATGCGCACGTGTGAGGGAAGAAGCAACAATAAAAGAAGATACATGGGAATGACCTTTGAGTAATCATTTTGAAACTCAATGTATGAGGATAACCAAGAAAATTGCCTTGTATTATGAACAAACTACAGTGCAAAAAGTAATGGAAAAATGTAGTGTGCAAGAGTTAAGCCTACACCTGTCCTGACTACAGATGCGAGACTTTCGTGGAGAGATACTTCATACAGATCAACACAGGTAACAAGTATATGGAGACCACGAAAAGCATATATGTGTTTACAATGCTATCGATAATGACGCTTGAAGCCTTGTCCCTTTGGATTAAACTCAACGGTAGACATCCTAGTTTTGGTAAGGGAGGCCAAAGGTTCGAACGCTTGAAGTTTGTCCCAATAAACCAAACAAGCTGACCTACCCTTGTTACTAGCCAAAAATAAATAAAGAAGTAAAAGATAAGGGCCCTTGAAGCAGGGCTGCGTAATGGGCGAGTATAACCCAGAAAAGGAAAATGGATAGACATACAAATATAGATTGGGGCAACATTGACCTAGTTGAATCAGAGTATGCTGAGACAATCAAAGAATATGCCCAAACTTAAGACTCACAGAAGGCCCGAAGAGTTTCTTCAAGAGCTTTGTTATCATAATCTCCTGTGAAAACACAATTACCAAGAGGGCCCTTGAGAAGGATGAGTCTTAGCAAGCCATCAGCCACCTTCTTATCAACCTAAATATGTTTATCAAGGTCCCAGTCAGTATTCATCTTATATATCATGGGGTAAGAGTAACTACATATTGTATAAACTTACAGCCATTATGGTCTTGAATTTCTCCACGGTCATAATATCAGGTGGAGCGGTGGGAACCTTGGCTTGCTCTAGGATATTAATCACCCGCCTCACAATTGAATCATCAATCCAGCCAAGACGATAGGACATGTCCACGGCCATGACCTGTGGATCATTTACAACATCAATTTAGATAATATTTCACCATAATAATAATAATAATAATAATAATAATAATAGTATATTATATATTATTATTATTATTATTATTATTATTATTATTATTATTATTATTATTATTATTATTATTATTATTATATTAATAATAACTACTAAACTAAACTAATAATAAACTAACAAACTAAACTAA